TCCCACAAAGCGGCTGGGGCCGGCCAGGTCCCAGGCTCATGATGAAAAACACAGCCTCTACCCCGGGAGCTCCCTGCAGCTGGGCTGGGGAAGTAGGTGTGTGAAGGAAAGTGCCTAGCTCAGCGCAGGGAAGGACAGCTTTCTGGAGGGGTTGGTGTCTGAGTCCCAACGGATAAATGGGAATTCACTGGGGTCAGGCAATGGAGGCGCAAAGATGCAAAGGTGAGAAGAGCAGATGGTGTGAAGAACTGCACGTGGCTGGATTTCCTGGGCGCAAGAGGTCTTGTGTGCTAAGGGGCTTGACCTTTACCTGGACGCGATCCCTAGGAGGGCTTTAAGCAGGGTGGCAGCACGGGCAGATCTGTGCTTTGGAAAGAGAGCTTTGGCAATATGCCGGAAGGATGGAAGGGGCAACGCCTGTCAGGAAACCAGTTAGGAGGTCACTGCACTAACACAAGAGAATGCAGTCCTGAACTAAGGCAGAGAAAATCAGGAGTAATTTGGAAATGGCGTGGAAAGAGAAAAGGACGTGGTGATAAATGGAGGCACACACAGGGGCTCTGGAGTCAGCCTCCAAGATGATCTTGGGCAAATTACACTTGTGCCTCAGCTTCCTCATCTGTAAAACAGGAATGACAGTAATAGCACCTGTCTCAACATTGGTGGAGGACTGAAGGAGTTAATAATATTATGTAAACGCTTAGGGTACAGCTTGGCACTCGTCTTACTCAGCAAATGTTAACTATTATTATGCAGCTCAGAAAAGAGAGAAAAGGAATGTCTATGTTGACTCCCAGGATCCTGGTCTGGACAAGTAGATGTGCAGTTCTCAAAGTGTGTTCTGTGGACATCTGGGGGTCCCAAAGATCATTTCTGATGAAATGTGAAGTCAAAACTATTTTATAATGAAAAGTACTTTATTTACTCAACAATAAAATTAAGACATCTGCCCTTTTATTGTGCTGACACTTACTGTGACGATGCAAAAACAATGGTGGTTAAAACTACTAGTGCCTTGGCATAAATTAAGGCAGTGGCACCAAACTATACTGGTTGTCATATTCTTCACTGCCATTCCCTTCAAGTTTAAAAAAAAAAGCCAGTTTCACTTAAGAATGCCCTTGATGAGGCAATAAAAGGAATTTAATTAGTAATACATTGCTAAAATTGGATATTTTTTCTTTAATGTATTTTAGATAAGCACAGATGATGAGCAAGTTTTATTAAATGGGAAAAATGTTTTACTCCTTATGTGAGAATACTGATTATCATTAAGCACCATTCATTTAATTCAGTCCCATGGCAATAAAAATTATTAACAAAAATACTCTGGCCAAACAAGATAAAGTATTACTGAATAATAATTCAAAGTATAAAATATCCATGAGTGCATACTGATAGGAATAAATGATTGAATGAGTTAATAAATGGAGGAGAAGAAACAAATCTCTAATGCAGAAGAAATTTACATAATATAGATACTGCACCCTAAGAACCGGGGAGCATAACTGCCCGCCCACTCCTTAGTGGCTGCACACAGTAACTTCCTTCCAAAGAGCCCAGTATGGAAAGGGAGAAAAAAGAGTAACCTTACAGTGGAGAAACCTGATGAACACCACCTCAGCCAGGTGATCAAGGTCAACATCAACAGTGACAAATCATGACGACAGAATGTACCTTTAATATGATATGATGAAAACGGCATTTTACCTCTATATCTTCCTCCCCAGACCCATAACCCCAGTCTAACCATGAAAAAACATCAGATAAATTCCAGTAGTGGGGCAGCCCACAAAATACTTGTCTAGCATTCCTCAAAATTGTCAAGGTCATAAAAAACAAGTCTGGGAAACTGTCATAGCCAAGAGGGACCTAAGGAGACATGACATCTAAATGTGATGTCCTAACCTGGATGAGATCTGGGAGCACTAAAAAGACATTAGGTAAAAACTGGCTTGCACTGGCTCATGCCTGTGATCCTAGCACTTTGGGAGGCTGAGGTGGGAGGATTGCTTGAGACCAGAAGTTCGAGACCAGCCTGAGCAAGAGCAAGAGCAAGACCCTGTCTCTACAAAAAACAGAAAAGTTAGCTGAGCATGGTGGTGCATGCTTGTATTGCCAGCTACTTTGGAAGCTGAGGCAGGAGGATCACCTGTGCCCAGGAGTTCCAAGCTGCAGTGAGCTGTGATGACGTCACTGCACTCCAGCACGCGGGCAACAGAACGAGACCCTGTCTCAAAAAAAAAAAAATCATCATCATCAAGAGAGAGCTTGTAATACCAGCACTTTGGGAGGCTAAAGTGAGAGAGGCTGCAGTGAGCTGTGATCGTGCCACTACACTCCAGCCTAAGCGACAGAATGAGACCTTTCTCAAAAAAAAAAAAAGAATCAAAAGAGAAAGTATGAAAATGTACTCTGCCCGCCCCAACGCGCCGGTGGAGCACTGGTTCTTTCTAGCTCGCAGGCCCGCATGGACAGCGCAGCACAAAAGGCCGGGCGGGGAGCCTGGGGCCGGGCCACCGCCTCCAGGTGCATCTCGGGAAGGGCTTCCCGCCTGGGCCACGACAGCCCGGCTTGCGCGCGGCTTCGTGTCCCCAGCCCTCTCCCATCCGCTCACTCGGGGCCAGGGCAGAGAAGCACCGGCCGACGAGCATCTGGCCCGAGCTGCCGCAGGTTCAAGGAAGGCTTCACACAGCTCCTCCACCCCGGGGGTCTTTGTTCCCCGAGCTGTTCCCCGCCCCACTGCTCCCGCCGCAAACCCTGTTTGCGGAGTCTCATCCGCCTGTCTAACTTCAAAATGCGCACTTGTGGGAAGCGCTGGGATGGGGGCGTTGATAGACGCAGCGAAGGGGCCCCTAAGCTTAAGTACTAGGGGAAAGGAAAGGAAATTTGTGGGACCCGCCTCCTCCCAGTATCTCTCGGAGGCGGGCGGCTCCCCGCTGAGCTGGCGGCTCGCGCGGGCTCCGCAGGGCGCGCAAGCGGCGGGGCGGGGCGGGGAGCGGCGGGCCCACGGCCTGCACGTGGTGGCGACTGCTCTCGGCCGGCCGGGTCCCCAGAGGGCCACGGCGCTCATCGGGTGGCGTTGGCCCCGGAATTGAAAGTTGGGAGGAGAAAAAGGAAGGGCGCCCCGTGGCGCGTATGTTTCCTGCGCGGAGACTGTAGGGTGGAAGCTGCAGGGCAGAGGCAGGGCGGCGGACTGGGGAGTAACCCACCCATGGGAAGGGCAACCCGGTCGGCGGTGCCGGAAAACTGGGTTGATACGTACCTCGGTCGTTGGGCTGCAGATCCCTTCCCTGAACGTGGCCGCCCAGTGATGGCAGAGCCAGCCACTGGCGGTCCTAGGAGCCGAAACTGCAGCGCGCAGAGACGCACGTGGCCTGCAGCGCACCCGGGCTGTGTTTACATTCTGCAGCCGCTCCACGTTGTGCCGCCATCCCCGCCTTCCATTGGCCAGCTCATCACCCAAAGCCTCGCTCCTCCCAGAGGGGCGGGCCCTCCTGGTCCGCGCGTCTCTCAGGAAAGACCCGGGTTCCCTGAGGCCTTGGCGGGACAGCCAGGGTGCGCCACAGGATGGCAACTTCCTGGCCACTCCATGCTTGCCCAGGTCGCCTTCCCCTGGCCGTACGCCGGGGCTGAGCGGCAGCCTGACACCCCCGGGATCCGGGAGTTGCTGTGGGAGGGGGCAGGCGCGAACTGGCGGGAGATGTGGGAGCCGAGCGGCGGGGAGCCGGGCCGCGGAGGCGGAGCCTCTGAGATACTCCTTACTGCCGCCGGGCTTCGCAAGCAAATGAAATGAAGTGCGGTGGACGCGGGATGAAGGCCTGGGCGAGCGGACCCTCCAGCCACTCGGGGTGGGCAGACGCGCACTGAAGGCAGGGCGCGACGCGCGGGCGCGCGGGCGGGCGCGCGGGAGAGGGGAGCGCGCTGTCCGGAGGTGTCAGTGTGAGGCGCATGCGTGCGGGGCGGGCCCGGCCCGGCCTATATATTGGGTTGGCGCCGGCGCCAGCTGAGAGCTGAGCAGTAGCGGGTCTGGCGGTGAGGAGGTGCGGGGTGTAGGGGGGGTGCGGGAGGAAAGAAAGCCCTGTCGGGCCGATCCATTACCGCGGGCGGGAGCCTCGGGGAGGAGAAGTGGGAGCGCTGAGATCTAGACGACTGGGGGGAAGGGGTCCCTGCGTTCCGTCCCTGTCAGGACCCTTGGCAGGGGACGGGGAAGCGGCGGGGGATGGAGGGCCGCCCCTAAGTGGGAGGCCACGGAAAATCTCATTTTAGGGGTGTCTCTATCTCACCCTCATTTGGGGAGCTAACCCGCGGGAGAGAGGATGGGGGTCTGGGTCCCCTCCCCCGGGAGAAAAGTTCCCGACCAGCCCAATTCCCCCCTTTCTTTAACTCCATTTCTTCCCCTCGCTCCCGATCTGGAGTCGGGGTCCCGGTGCCCCTCCGAGCGGCGGGCAGGGCCCGCTGGGGCCGGGAAGGAGGGAAAGGAGACTGGAGGACGTGACACCAGTCTCAGTTCCCTCCGCCCCCTGCTTCCCCGCCACTGCCGCTCTCCAAATTGGCGCGGAACCGGCTTCTCCACAGCATTTCGCCTCCACAACCCCCTCTCTGCGCGGTTCGTCCAAGACTGGAGGGGCGACGTGGAGGCGCTGCCCAAGCCCCACTTTGGGTGCACGGGGAAAGGGTGGAGGTCCCAGAAAAACCCGTTTCGGGGAGATATGCCTCCCAGCGCGTTCAGGGTGCTGGGGATGCTTTGTAAATTTTAGAAGACATTCGCGTTTCGGCTGTACATTCGGTTGAGGAAATGCAGGCATGTGTCCCGAATTAATTATTATGAGATAACTAACGCAGTGGACAAGACAGCATGTAAGCCACCTTCTGAGGGACTTAGTTATAACCTCCGAATCAGCGTCTAAATTGGCACTTGGAGAATATGAATGACAATGTACTTGACTCAGGTTTTCCCTCTCCTTCCTTCAGAGGTTTCATACACCTGAAAGAAGAGAATGTCAAGACGAAGGTAACATTATTTGTCTTGGAGCCATGTTTCACAATTAGTTGCTGCCTTTGACTTACTAATTAGACTTCCTTTTTAAAAATTCACCACAGTAGCCGTTTACAAGCTAAACAGCAGCCCCAGCCCAGCCAGACGGATTCCCCCCAAGAAGCCCAGATAATCCAGGCCAAGAAGAGGAAAACAGCCCAGGTGATTTAAGCAGAAAGAAAGCTGGAGGGAGGAAATTCCTTGCTGGGACCTTAGTTTACCAATGGTCTTTTCTATTTTCCAGGATGTCAAAAAAAGAAAAGAGGAGGTCACCAAGAAACATCAGTATGAAATTAGGGTAATGCAGGATTGGGCTGGGTGGGTTCAGGGGAAACAAATGCAGGATAGGACGAATAAGAACAGAATTTAGCATTACCACTTTACAGTAGAAAAGATTCCTCTGACGCTTTTAATGTCTCTAGAGGTCAGCAGGAAGGTGCTTATCTTTGGGTGATTTTATATGTGCCTGAATCCTACTACAGCTGCAGAGTAAGTGTGCCTTGAAGCAGCTGGTTCCTTTTTGTAAATCCCTCCCTCGTGGAGCTAGCTGCCTGGTGCACCAGGCAGGGCCCGCCTAATCTGTCCGATATACTGCTCTTTGTTCCCTCTCAGGCTACAGTAGAGGGTCCTAATAGCTGCTTCTTGGGCATAAATAGGATGTGAGATCACTGACAGCCTGGCATTCAGCCCTTTGCTACCTCTTCCTATGTGTTGTACAGAAAGCACTTTAGAGACAGTGATTCCCTTTGAAACCAGCATTGTTGGGGAAAAGATCCTTTAAGTAATTGATTCCACTTGATTCCAATTTTAAGGTTTTTGCCTTCAAGTATTCAGAAGTATGAAAGCAGGCTTAATTTAAAAAAAAAACCAACTTTTCTTTAAAAAAATAGTGCCCCTTGTAGTGTCAGATACAGAGAACTGCAATTTTATGATCTTTAAAATGGTTAGTATTTTAGACGATAGATGCACTTCATTATTACTCTCCTCTTTCAATACCTAATGTCTTCTATTATTAGAATTGCATTTTGTTGTCTAAAACATCCTGTTACTCTTTATAAAGATTGATGGGAGCTGTATGGCTTGTTTATAAAGTATCATTGTCAAATTAGTTTTGTTGTCTGCTATGTTAAGCTAAAACTACAGATTGTTTAGACAATATTAGCTTTCATTTATGAAAGATATAGGACAAAAAGCTAATAACCTTAGCTTATTTCCCATTGCACAAATAGATTTTCTTTTTTTTTTTTTTTAAATGACAGAATTGTTGGCCACCTGTATTATCTGGGGGAATCAGTCCATGCATTATCATTGAAACACCTCACAAAGAAATAGGAACAAGTGATTTCTCCAGATTTACAAATTATAGATTTAAAAACCTTTTTATTAATCCTTCACCTCTGCCTGATTTAAGGTAAGAAAAATTTCAGTAATTTTTCATCAAAGATTAAAATTATACTGATTTAATACATGGCACTATTTTGAGTTATCTTTTGCTTTCACTATAAAATAGAAAAACATAAAAATTACTTTATTAATATTTAAGCATGTATCATTATCTGTGAGTAGTGCTATTTGCAAATAATATGAGTATTTAAAACATCAATTCTAGAAAATTATTTTCATTTGCTTGCTGAGTACTGTTAAGACTGAGCAGAACTGAATTATTTTAATGGAGTTAGACTTACTTAAATTGTCAAGATGAAAGCATTTTTAACATGTACAGCATTTTCTTTTTTGTTTTTTTTTTTTTTTTTTTGAGACAGAGTCTTGCTCTGTTGCCTGGGCTAGAGTGCTATGGCGTTAGCCTAGCTCACAGCAACCTCAAACTCCTGGGCTCAAGCGATCCTACTGCCTCAGCCTCCCAAGTAGCTGGGACTACAGGCATGCGCCACCATGCCCCGCTAATTTTTTTTATATATTTTTAGTTGTCCAGCCAGTTTCTTTCTATTTTTAGTAGAGACGGGGGTTTCACTCTTGCTCAGGCTGGTCTTGAACTCCTGACCTTGAGCGATCCTACCGCCTCGGCCTTCCAGAGTGCTAGGATTACAGGTGTGAGCCACCGCACCCAGCCATGTACAGCATTTTCAATTGATGTATCACCCCTATTTATTTCGTACCAAGCTTAATAAGGTCTAAACTTTTTTCTAGCCTGTATGATTAAGAGGTACACCTTATATAAAACATGTAGTAATTTGTTTGGCTTTAATAAGCAAATTAATGGAATCAGACACTTAAACTCATCAATCTCCCTTCTCCCATACTCTGTCCCACCTTACCCCCACTACAGGTGACTCTACTGTAGATGATCTATTTGCAGGTGATTGAGACTTGTCTCTACTGTGATCACATGCTTTAAATATTTAACTTTTAGTATTGCTATTGGAAAAACATGGTTATCTCTTAAACATAACCTTTATATAAGTAAGTAGGACTAGAAAGCAATCTTTTGAAACCTACCAATTTAGATTATTATAGTCCAGGTTCTCACTGTATTATTTCAGATCTCTACTTGTGCAAAACAAATGGTTTCTAAAAATTAAAGTAGAAATTTTTTTCTAATTTAAGAGCTTTTTCTCTCAAGTTCTAATTGAAAGTTGGATTTCAATGTGTGAAATTGAATTTATTCTTTGTGAAACAAATGGCTTGTATATTATGTAGATCACACCATTTAAATTATGTCCTCCCCACCCCGCCTTTCCATAGCTGGGGATGTTCAAAGGAGGTTTGGCTAAACATGTTAAAAAAGGAGAGCAGATATATTCATGACAAGCATTTTGAAGTTCTGCATTCTGACTTGGAACCACAGATGAGGTCAATACTTCTAGACTGGCTTTTAGAGGTATGTTCCAGCAATATAAATTTCCTTTGTTTCTGTATGATGGAAAAATATTTAGATGTAGGTAGATGTGCTTTCCATGTACCCTCAGGGTATATTATCCATTGCCAGGCAAGCCATCTTTTTTGGGTTATTATTGTAGTTGATGGTACCCAAGGTGGAATATGTCTGTAAGAGTAAAATCATAAGGACACGGCCATTACATACAGCCAAACCCAATTCAGAATTCCTGATATCAGTGGGTATTACTATTTACTGGGCACCGTTCTAGGTGCCGAGGGTACTTAAGATGAATGGAAATGTATAGTTAACTAGGTTTTGAATTCTGCTATGCGTCCTCAGAAGTCATTTTCTGCATTACCAAAATCAAATTAAGAATCCTGATTTCTTTGTCCTAACCTAAACCATAATGAGGCTTTGGATATCTGGGAGCCTTAAGCCCTGTAGGCAGGCTCTGGGTAGCCTCCCTTTATTATATACTTCTATTCCTTTCAGAAACACACTGTACCATTAACTTAAAGGAATAAAGTGATCCTGAAGCCCCTTATAGATCTATGCCAGATTTTTCTCTTGTTTAGGTCCATCCCCTTTGATAAAAATTCTAAAAAAGTCTCTAAAATTATTATTGATAAAAGGATTACTTATGTTGATGTCAAAATGATTTTCTTCCAACTTTTGGAAATCTTTTCTGTAGTCTATCTTTAAGATAGAGATGATATGATGCATTCTAAGGGAGAAAGACTATAGGCTTTTGGGTGGAGTAGCACATGGCAGAACAGATCCCAGAAGTTATCAGTAAAGTTATTTTTGTTTTTTATTTCTGCATATTATGGGGATATAAATGTTTAGGTTACATTGCCCTTGCCCTCCACCCCCAGTCAGAGCTTCAAGCGTGTCCATCCCCCAGATGGTGCACATCGCACTCATTATGTTTGTATATACCCATCCCCTCCTCCTCCCCACCTGCCCGACATCCAATAAATGTTATTCCTATACACTTAGGTGTTGATCAGTGAAACCAATTTGCTGGTGAGTACATGTGGTGCTTAGTTTTCCATTCTTGGGATACTTCACTTAGTAGAATGGGTTCCAGCTCTATTCAGGAAAATACAAGAGGTGCTATATCACCATTGTTTCTTATAGCTGAGTAGTACTCCATGGTATACATATACCACATTTTATTAATCCACTCATGTATTGATGGGCACTTGGGTTGTTTCCACATCTTTGCAATTGTGAATTGTGCCACTATAAACATTCGAGTGCAGATGTCTTTTTTACAGAATGTCTTTTGTTCTTTTGGGTAGATGCCCAGTAAAGGGATTGCTGGATCAAATGGTAGATCTACTGGTATCTGTTTAAGGTATTTCCATATTGCTTTCCACAGAGGTTGCACTAGTTTGCAGTCCCAAGGAAAGTTTTTAAGACTAAAAAATGTCCTCCTGTGTCAGGTCATCTTGTTCCTTATTCTCACTAGAATGAAAGATTGAATTTTAATAGTGTGGGTATAAGACTTAGGTAGTTGGGACTTTTTCTGAGTGTCTAGTGATCATGCAATTAACTTAAGCACAATTAAGTTAATTAAAATTTTCCTTTTTATGTTAGACCAGTTTTCATCCAGTGGTTATCCTATCCAACTTATTCCTATTTTCCCCTAAATATAATTATATGCAAAAACAAACAGAATATAATAAATCCAGCAGTGTTAAACTCTATTTTGTCTTAGTATATTCTTTGTCCTGGAATACAAAGATGGTTCAACATTTGAAAATCTATTATTATTTTAATAGTTAAAATGAGAAAAATCCTAAGATCTCACTAGATGCAAAAGACATTTTTTGAAATTCAACATCCAGTCCTGATTTTAAGATATGTAATAAGCTAGGAATAGGATATTTCTGTAACATTAAGTGTTTATTAGAAACTCATGTATCTCTGTCCTTCTATTTCCTCATCTCCAAAATGGGGATAATGGTACTGACTTTATGGAGTTACTGTGAGATTTAAAAGCTTTCCCTTTAAGTGTGGAAATGACAGATACTATCTATTATTGACAAGAGTAAAACATTAGGGCAATTCCCATTAAAGTCAGAAAGAAGGGACAAGATACAGGTTTTGTCTATTACCAGTGTTACTCATTCAGTATTCTTCTATAATTTCTTAACCAGTGCAGTAAAATATAAAAAACAAATGAGGTAAAAACATGTGAAAAAAGCTACAAAGCTAATAAGAGTGAGGACGGTAATAGATCTGTTTATCCTATTAGTACATGTTAATTTTTTTTCCTCTCCTATCTTAACTTTGGTATCCTAAAAAGCAAAGTTTGGCTAAAAGTATTCTGAAGTCTGGTATGCTAAGAGATGACTTTCCAATTTGGAGAAATTCAGAGGATAATATTTAAATGTTTTGATTCTTCACTAGGTATGTGAAGTATACACACTTCACAGGGAAACATTTTATCTTGCCCAAGACTTTTTTGATAGATTTATGTTGACACAAAAGGATATAAATAAAAATATGCTTCAACTCATTGGAATTACCTCATTATTCATTGCTTCTAAACTTGAGGTAAGTTCTCAAAGTTTATCCATGGATATATTTATCCCAAACTTTTGTTATTTTAATCAACACATTAATCCCAGAGAATTCTATTATTTTTTATATTAACTCCTTAGGAAAGGTGAGTGGTTCTGTTCCTCAGTACGCTTTCTGAACATCACAATGGGGATGGAAGAATAAATTATCATAGTTCCCTTTATATTCTAAGCCTATTATGAGTCTCTGGTTTAGATTCTGAGATTAGTATTACTATCTAGGTGAAATGTTCTATCACTCATTCTGCCAAACAAAACATATTGCTGTTATCTTTACATACACAATTATGGTGCTTGGATTCCATAGAATTATCTTTGAAAACTAAACAGCCAATCAGATGAAAAAAATGCTATGGTGGGTTAGAATAATGGTTTATCCAGCCTGGATTTTTCAACTTTTTGATGGTACAAAAGTGATATGCATTCATTACACTCCTTGACTCTTGATGAGGGGGTTAATCTGGATAAGTTGAAAATATTGTAAGTTGAAAACGCACTAATGATATTTTCAATTTACAATGGGTTTACTGAGATGTAGCCCCATCATAAAGTGAAGAATAACTGTAATTCTTTTATCTCAATATGAATTGTGCTTAATAAAAAAATTCTAATTTAAAGGAAATCTACGCTCCTAAACTCCAAGAGTTTGCATACGTCACTGATGGTGCTTGCAGTGAAGAGGATATCTTAAGGATGGAACTCATGATACTAAAGGTAATAATAATTACCTTTACTTCTAGTTGCAACTTGGTAACATAGTTATGACCAAATCTGAAACGCTATGATGTAAATAGTCAAAACTGAGGTTTTTTAGTATTAGGATCCAGTTCTAAGAGGTTAATGCATCAAAATATTGACAGTTATGGCTGGGAGGGGAATTTACTCAACCTCAAGTCTACTATATAATGTGGTATATGTGCCTACTACGTTCATTAACAGGCATTTTAAAATTTTGTTAACAGGCTTTAAAATGGGAACTTTGTCCTGTAACAATCATCTCCTGGCTAAATCTCTTTCTCCAAGTTGATGCTCTTAAAGATGCTCCTAAAGTCCTTCTACCTCAGTATTCTCAGGAAACATTCATTCAAATAGCTCAGGTATTGACATTTTTATTGAATATATGCTAATACTATTGTTAATTTCAGGTTTGTTTAGTTTATATATAGTCTTAAATAGGCTATACAACAAAGTTGTATTGAATTCACTCAATTGACTAGAACAAAACTTTTGATGTATAAAATTCTGTACCGAATGTTTATGTTGCTTAATAATTCTAGAAAACAAAGTCCTTAAACTTGTGAGTACTTTCATTCTTTAGGAATCCAAACTAGAGAGGTTAAATATCTCTTCTTGATATAAAATGGAAAAGATTTTTTCAGCCAGTTGTCTGTAGGCTTTATAACGGTACGGAATTCTTCTGTATGATTAGTTTATTCTTTGTATTTGAATACACAGGGATACATTTTGAGTTAAATATTAGACTTAAAATCACCTTATTTTGTTAAAGATTTTTTTAAACTTAATTTCAAATTAAGCTTTCCTAGGACAGCATGTAACAAATATTTTATAAAGTAACTAATTGGAGGAGGAGGGAGGATCCCATTCTTTCTTGCCTACTTCTCCTAAGTAATATTTTAAGTCTGCTGTATCTGCCATATATAAAAGTGAAGAAAATCTACATTCTTATCTTTTCTTAGAATGTGAAAATCTTACCTATGGAATAGAAAGAATTGTGATATTTGAGGATGAATATTAAGTCACTAGGTTAAAATCTGTGTTTTGGATAACCAATAAATATTTTAGAATGGGTTCATTTTGTAAAACTTTCTAATAAAGGCTTATTAACTTGTTCATCAGTCACAATTCCTAGCATCCCAGATTGTCATAGGCATCCATACTCTTTTGATAGAGTGGGTAAACTTTTGATAAATTGATAATGTAGAAACAGTTTCTAGAGGTATACAGTAATAATGTTTCACTTCCAATTCTCGTTTCTACTACCTTCTGGACCAATGAGGACAAACAATTTAAGTTTTATTCCACTGTATCATCTCAAACCTCTGAAATCTAGCCCTTTTATACCATTCCACTGCTACTTGCTCAGCTCTCTTATTGCCTGGATTATACTGCTGCTTAACTAATTTCCCTGCTTATAAACATGTTCCCTTCTAGTCTGTCTGCTTAAAGACTAAGCTATCTTTCTTAAATTGTAACTTTCCTGATTTAAAGTCTTCCAGTAGTTTCAATAATCAGCCTACAAAGTTCTGACTTCTTAAAGATCCTTTGTGTTCCAGTCTAGACTGCGCCTCTCTCTAGCCACCTACCTCCCCACCCCCCTTTTGCTTGGATAAGAAATAAAGGAAAGGTACTCCTTGCTTATTTCATATTTTTCACCTTAGGAGTTCTGAACTACTGGGAACTACTTCAGATTCAAGTACTGTTCCTATACCTAGAACATTCTTTACCTTCTAATCTTCCTGACTGCCTTATCTTTTAAGACTCATTTAAGGCATCAGAAGCTTTCACTGTCTTTTCCAATCTGGATTAGGTGTCCTTCCTGCTAATATATATCACACTGCATCACAACAATCCTTTCTTTGTGCTGTTACTCCCTGATGTACAATCCCAAGATTTGACTTCTTTCGGGCTGGTGGCTTATTCATCTTTGGATCCCTAAAGTTTTAGCAAGAGACATGTAGTATTCATCCTTCTCCTAAATTACTCGTACTTTTGTTTTTCCTTTGCTAGCTTTTAGATCTGTGTGTTCTAGCCATTGATTCATTAGAGTTCCAGTACAGAATATTGGCTGCTGCTGCCTTGTGCCATTTTACTTCCATTGAAGTGGTTAAGAAAGCCTCAGGTAAGACTATATTTTGTTGCCTTACCTGTTCACAACTTCTAATGGGACTATAATCTACGAACTATAACATCCTGTTAAATATGAATTTAAAACTTAAGCAGAAAAAATTCAGCAGTTTAGTGATTACCTTCCTTTCTGTTAGAAGTACTTTCCAATCCTCAATGTATATCTACAAACAAAAAATAAGACCCAGTGGAATTTAAATCCATTTGGAGTGCATCAACATGATTACAGTTCTGCTTTAAGAGTTGACAATTTCTACTTTTTATGCAGAAGGTACTGGTTAGGAAGTTCTGATGTCCTTTTCCCCTTCAATAGTCATGGTATAAACACAGTTTGAGAATGGTAATCTGTTTTGACTTGTTAAACTTGATTTGGATGTTTTGGTTTCTTTTTAAAATGAGTTTTAGAACTAGCTTAAAATTTAGAAGCAAGAGCCAAGTATATTAGGCACACTTAAGATAGTTTCTGATGTATGACCTTCACATTTTTCCGACTTTTTTCTTCTATCTAGGTTTGGAGTGGGACAACATTTCAGATTGTGTAGATTGGATGGTGCCTTTTGTCACTATAGTAAAAAGTACTAGTCCAGTGAAGCTGAAGACTTTTAAGAAGATTCCTATGGAAGACAGACATAATATCCAGACACATACAAATTATTTGGCTATGCTGGTATGTTTTTTGGTCTTGCTATCTATATCTATTAAGCCACTGAAACTGATAGGATACTATAGAATACTACTTCAGGCAGTTACATAAGATGGTAGGGGGAAAGGAAGTTCTAATGAGCACATTGATTTCAAAATGTAGTTAGTAATACTACTTTGAACTCAAAGCAGTATTTGTGAAGTGTATCAAGATCAGTGCCAATAGTCTAGGTAAGGGTTAAAATATATAAAAAACATGTTACAGGTAGTTCAAATTGTTGAACCTTAGAATGACTATTCTCATTTTCAAAGACATAAAGAGACCATATTAGGCCTGAATGGTCTCAAATAAGTATACCATGGTCTGACTATCAATGCATGATTTCTTCACATGTATAGGATGAAGTATATTACATAAACACCTTCAGAAAAGGGGGACAGTTGTCACCAGTGTGCAATGGAGGCATTATGACACCACCGAAGAGCACTGAAAAACCACCAGGAAAACACTAAAGAAGTTAACCAACCAAAAAAGTTGGAAGTCACCAAGTACTGTATAGTATTTGATATAACCAAACTACTAAAGTTTTACAGGAAGATAGTGCTGTGATCTGACCTGGCCAATTCAGAAGTTACACTGCCATCCTTTGATGAAAATACTTAAGAAATTGGCACTAAGAAAGAAATTCCTCTGTTAGCTGTTAAAGAAACAGCAGGATTTGTTTACAAAGATGACTTCATTCCCAAGGTTACTGGATAGAAGCCAGCCATGATTTATGCCATAGCAACCTTTTTTTAAGATCCAGTGTTACTATGTTTATCTTGATGAACTAGGAATTTTATCATTAGAGTTTTGGATAAGTGCTACTTAAAGGGTACATTAAGTGATATATACTTTTGAGTCTACCTTTTAGATTCTTAAAACTCCTATACGCTTGACTAGTGCAATTTGGTTCTTGAAAATAAAATTTAAACTTGTTTACAAAGGTTTAGTTTTCTAATAAGGTGACTAATTTATTGATAGCTGCTATAGCAAGCTATTATAAAACTTGAATTTCTACAAATGGTGAAATTTAATCTGTTTTCTAACTAGTTTATTTGCCTTGCCATAATACATTTTTTTAACCAGTAAGGCTTAGGTGAACATGGTGTTTAACCTGTGCTCTAAACAATGGGAGTACCAAAGAAATAATAAACAAGCTAAATGCTGTGGCTCCTACTTGGGGCTTTGACGCATAGGTTGCTTTATAATAACATTTTTGTATGTCACAGTTTTGGTGAAAAACTTAAGAAGTACCCTTTCAAACTATTTATGAGAAAGTCACTTTATTACTCTAAGATATCCCTAAGGACTTTTTTTTTAGTGTGACTAAGGCTTTATTTATGTTTGCAAAACTGTTTTAGACAGTGTCAAAGTGACAAAGCTTAACACTTGACCTAAACTTCTATTTTCTTAAGGCAGAAGAGTATTAAATGTATACTGACTCCTAGAAAAATCTATTTATTAAAAAAAAACTTGCTGTATATAGACTAGCTACTTCTACATACATATTTTAAATTAGCCTTTAAAATAAATTTCAGCCTCAAAGTAGATAGATTTAATTATAAAACAAATTTTTGTTACCAGACATGTGAATCTCTTCTCCCTTTGAAGAAATTATAAATTTAAGCTATTGTTATGGTATGAAGTCTTCTGTATAGTTTTTGTTTTTAAACTAATTTCAGTATTTTGTCTGAAAAGGAAACACCACTAAATGTGTACATATGTATTATATAAACTTAATACTGTTTATTTTTAGCCTATTGTTTAAAAAATAAAAGTTAAAAAATTTTAACTAACTGCTTAAAAGTAAAGTTTTGCCATTGCTTGGAGAAACTTTTTTTTCCTTCTCTGCGCTGCCAGCTGTAACACTTCTTCTGGGTTGCTTGCATTCAATTCTGTCTGGCCGATGGCTTTGATCTTCCAAAACAAAAAAGTAATATTAGAGAGATCTGGTCAAAAATTAAATCTTGCTGGTATACATAACATAAAGCTACCTGTATGATAACAATGATAGTTTTGATGATTAACTGAACCCTCTATAGTAAAACCCAAGAGTTGTGGGGAAAATTAATGTGTAAAAATCGACTAGAGCCACTCTTTTTTTTTTATCTTTCAAAATCCATTTAAAATTTATTCAATGGGATAATCTTCCCCTGCTCAAAACACCTTACTACTCAAAATGTGGCCAAAGAATCATCACCATCAGCATCAATTGGAAACTTGTCAGAAATGCAGACCCCACCCCAGACCCAGAGAATCACAATCTGCGTTTGCAGACGAGCAGTGGGTAATTCACGTATACATTAAAGTTTGCAAAGATCCCTGATTTTTCTGCTTCTCTTGGTAATGGAAAGTCTTAAAATGACCTTAGGCCATAAGCATACTTCAATTTACAAATTAGAATGCCAGTGCTAGATGTTGATCAGACCTCCAACTGTACTCAAAGGTTAAGTCTTTGTCGTCTTACTTCCCCAGTTAAGGTCTTGACCTAGAAAGGAGCATGATTGGCACGCTCTCCCTCTGTCTCCACTCCCCACATCTTTTCCTCCTCTCATTAATATGTTACCTTTGCTTCTCACCTAGGCCATAGTATGAGTGTTAGGTCTGGTGGAGAGTAAACCGGTGGCAAGGAAGTGGCTAAGGGCAGAGAGCAGGAACCGAACTGTAGCTAGGAACCAAATTACAGCTAATAACTATTCCCTGGTGGGAACATACATGGTAAAAAGTTCCTAGTAACCTTTAACTGAACTAGAGCTCCTTATTATCTAATTAGCATGACTAGTGCCACTCTTAAGGAAAAGATTGATTGCTGTACCACAGTTTATGGAATTATCTTTGGTGACATTTTATCACATGTAAATTTATTGGAAAATATCAGTAAGCAAGCTCTATATGGTAATTTGACACATGGTACCTTTTTTTAGAGTTAAGGCTCCTACATATTAGTTTTAAAAAAATCCCAATGTGTGTTTTAGGGCTTCACGTTTTTAGTGTACAAAAATATCTAGTTGCTCAGCCCTATAATAGCATATAGTAGCTCAACTTTTCATGATTAGAAAAGTACCTCAGCCTACTAAATGTACATAGTAGTTTTCTGCTATAGAGTGTTTATATAGTTTAGGACCTTAGAATATACTTTTAGATTAAAAAAATTAGAACAAGACTACTCTGATATGTAGCTTGAAAGGAGATAGGACTATTCAGAAATGGTTATCAGTTAGTATGGGAGGTTAGGGAATCGGAGAAATTGCTGGGTGATGCCATTTCAATATAAAGAAATGCATGTGGCAAAGGCTTGTAGTAGGTGTAACTGGAGTTGTTTCAAACAAACAAGGCAGCCCAAAGACAACTGGCTATAAAAGCCCAAAGTGTGAGACAGAAGTAAGAACAGGAGCCAGATATCTGAGAGAAATAATGTATCCCAAGTGGGTATTAGTCAAAACCAGAGTGGATGACATTACCTAGAAAGACCATAGGTGATCAGAAAATAACCCAAAGACTAATTTTCTGTGAAAACCAAGTTTAAGGGGTGGGCAGAGGGAGATACAAGGAAGAATAGTCAGGGGAAAAAATCAAAATGACAGGGAAGCCAAAGGAGTATCTCAAGAAGGAAGGAGATGTAAACAGGAAAAGGACAAAAAGTATCCACTGGGTTTGGCATTTGGTGACCCTTCAGAGAGCAGTTAAGAGCGATGCTGGCAGAAGTGAAAGCGCACTGGGCTGAAGAGCTTCAAACTAGGCAGAGAGGAATGAGAGGTGGCGGCACAGTCAAGAAAAGTTAGTATTAGGATGAAACAGTTTATAGACTACGGGAAAGGTTGACAATATAGGAAAAGAGAACTCATTAAAAGGTCCCTGAGGGGACAAAATCAAAAGAATAAAAATTTGCCTTCAAGAGTAGTATAACATCTTTTACTGACTTGCAGAGTGCGTTTAACAGTAAGTACAGCTATAGATGATTTTAAAGGTGGAAAGCAGGGACTTGAAACAGGAATTTGAAGCTGGCACTCATAGAACTGCCATTCCCAAGACTATAATATCTATGGGGACAGGGGCTGTTCAGTCTTTTTTCTGGTGTATCCCAAGCATACAAGAGGCACAGAAGTTACTGAGAATGGAAAAGACAGAGGACTTGGGACTTAACAGGAGAAAAGTCTAAAATAGGGAAGATGGAATTGGGCTGACAGACTGGGGAGAACAAAAACTGGTCACAAACCCAAATACCTCATTGATCACTAGAAGGCAAGTCAGAGAAGGATAGGTTATTGGCAAAGGGTGGGTTGCAGGATAAGATCGTATGTAAAACAACTTTGGCTGACAATAAGACGTGGCAGCTTTGGGTGTGGGTGGCTTGCGCAGAGTAAGATGACAATCTATGGAACTGAGGCTGGCAGACATGTAAAGCTATAGTGATAGGTAAGTTCATCACATGTCTCTTGATACATGTAGAGGAAATAACTAGGAGGTTACATGAGCTAGTAAGGAGGTAGGTATAAGCCTGAAAGAAGGAGCTTCAAAAATGATACAAGCAGAAATGGTTTGGAAATAGCAAAGGAATGCTGGAAAAATTTCAACATTGCCTTCCAGCCCCAGGTAAATTAAAATGAATGAGTAGCCTCCAATCAAGTGGAACCGGCCTTCATGTTCTTTTTCCTTTTTTAAAAGGTGCTGTTATTAATGTTTCCTCTAAACAATGGATGTACAATTTAGTCCAAGTACAGAGCTTTAAAGGACACATAATGAAGAGCATATACTTTTATTAATATGAGTGAAAGCAAAGAAAGTATCTGGTGATACAGATGCAGCAAATGTTAGGCAAGTAATAATGGCCATAAAATTTACAATGTTTTGGCCTCTAAATCATATTTTAATAATTAATTGATCTATTCAGTAACTACTGGGCACCTACTACGTGCCAGGCAACATTCTAGGTACCAGCTATGACAAAACCAAGTCCTTACCCTCAGGGAAATAGACAAAAAATACGTAAATATATAGTTTGTTAGATGTTGATAAGTGTTATGGAGAAAAATCTAAGGGAAATGAGAGTAATAATACTGGAGGGAAAAGGGAAGTAGAAATCGTTATTTTATAAGATGGTCGGGAAAGGATGATTACAAAGAAGGTGACAACTGAGGAGAGACATGAGAGGAAGTTGGATGTCCCTGAAGAGAAAATTTCAAAGGCCATTAAGGTGGTGAATGTTGTCAGCAGGTTCAAGGAACAGTAGGGGTACTGGTGTAGCAGAGGTGATCAAGGGGAAAGTCAGATGGATAGGCGATGGGCCAAGTTATATGCAGCCTTGTAGGCCATCATAAGGACTGTGTGTGAGATAAGAAACCATCTGAAGGTTTGGAGCAGAGAAAAAGTAAACACTGATAAAACCAAATTGTGGCAGTAACTAGGCACGCAAAATCTTTTTTTGTTGATGGTTCAAATCTTAACAATTGTTAATAACAATTGTCTAATA